CAAATAGAATTTTAGGAGTCATTTAAAAATGGATAGCGAATAAGACAGAAAATATTTTATTGCCTCTATATAAAACCACGGTATGCCCACATCTTGAATACTGCATACAGATGTGGTCGCCTCATCTCAAAAAAGAGACATTGGCATTGGAAAAGGTTCAAAAAAGGGCAGCAAAAATTATGAAGGGTTTGGAACGGGTCCCATATGAAGAGAGATTAAAAAGACTTGGACTTTTCAGTTTAGAAAAGAGGAGACTAAGGAGGGATATGATAGAGGTTTATAAAATCATGACTGGTATGGAAAAGTGAATAAGGAAAAGTTATTTACTTATTCCTACAATATAAGAACTATGTTCGTAAGAATGACCATACTGGGTCAGACCAAAGGTCCATCTAGCCCAGTATCCTATCTGCTGACAGTGGCCAATTCCAAGTGCCTCACAGGGAGGGAACACAACAGGTAATCCTTATGTGATCCCTCCCGTCATCCACCTCCAGAGAAACAGAGGCTAGGGATACCATTCCTATCCATCCTGGCTAATAGCCATTGATGGACCTAACCTCCATGAATCTATCTAGCTCTTTTTTGAACCCTGTTAAAGTTCTAGCCTTCACCACATCCTCTGGCAAGGAGTTCCACAGGTTGACTGTGCGCTGAGTGAAGAAAAACTTCCTTTTGTTTGTTTTAAACCTGCTGCCTATTAATTACATTTGGTGACCCCTAGTTTTTATATTGTGGGAATAAGTAAATAACTTTTCCTTATGGCACCTCACACGTGCCACTTCTGTGACCATCTGGATACCATTTTGGGGGATGGCCTAGCCAGCATCCCCTGTGTGGTTGTCAAGTCCGTCCAAAACATGCCTAGTGTCAGCCTGGAGGATACGGTGGTGGCAAAGAGGTCCTCAAGATCCAAGAGCTGGTCATGTTGCAGGAGCCTCACCGTCTGAATCAACAGTAGGTTTCCTACTAGGGTCATGCTACTTTGGGGTACATTCGATTCTTTCCTGCAGTGAGGACATGGACCTTTGACTTTGCAAAATCAGGTGGTAGGAAATCAACCGTATTAGATTGGACCTTATCTTGTAGAGCAGACGTGCCCTTAAGGTTTAATAAATTTTTTAAAATGCTATTTCGTGCAGTTTGGTGCATTCTAAATCTAGACTTTGTCTCCAAAATACTTTGAAAAAGCAGGAAATCATCAACACCATCTTCATGCCTCGCAGGGATGGTCTGCAGTATTGGGTAGAGAAAAGGGAATTGTAGCAGAAGCCCTGTAACTTAAAAATCAAACCTGGCAGAGGTTTTAGTTCCATTAGAGTTGTTGGCCACCTTTCTTACATTGTCATTATATGCAACACACAGCAACAGTAGTTTCTCTTTCTCCTCCCCTAGCTAAAACATCCAATGACTGCAGGCTTTAGTTTTCTAATCTTTTCATTCGGATATGGAATTAAGCATTTTATAATAGTCACTAATTTTGTAAGCTTTGAATTGGCTTAGATTTTGTTTTTCTGGACTACTGATGAGGCCATTTCTCTACCACATTCTCAATCAATTCTCAGTGTTCTTCCTTTACTTATAGAACCATAGAATACTAGGACTGGAAGGGACCTCGGGAGGTCATCAGTTCCAGTCCCCTGCCCCCATGGCAGGACCCAGGACTGTCTAAGACCATCCCTGATAGACATTTATCTAACCTACTCTTAAATATCTCCAGAGATGGGGATTCCACAACCTCCCTGGGCAATTTATTCCAGTGTTTAACCATCCTGACAGGTAGGAACTTTTTCCTAATGTCCAACCTAAACCTCCCTTGCTGCAGTTTAAGCCCATTGCTTCTTGTTCTATCCTCTGAGGCCAGAAAGAACAAGTTTTCTCCCTCCTCCTTGTGACACCCTTTTAGTTACCTGAAAACCACTATCATGTCCCCTCTCAATCTTTTCTTTTCCAAACTAAACAAGCCCAGTTCTTTCAGTCTTCCTTTATAGGTCATGTTCTCTAGACCTTTAATCATTCTTGTTGCTCTTTTCTGGACCCTTTCCAATTTCTCCACATCTTTCTTGAAATGCGGTGCCCAGAACTGGATACAATACTCCAATTGATGCCTAATCAGCGCTGAGTAGAGTGGAAGAATGACTTCTTGTGTCTTGCTCACAACACACCTGTTGATACAACCTAGAATCATGTTTGCTTTTTTTGCAACAGCATCACACTGCTGACTCATATTTAGCTTGTGGTCCACTATAACCCCTAGATCCCTTTCTGCCGTACTCCTTACCAGACAGTCACTTCCCATTCTATATGTGTGAAACAGATTGTTCCTAAGTGGAGCACTTTGCATTTGTCCTTAGTAAACTTCATCCTGTTTACCTCAGACCATTTCTCCAATTTGTCCAGATCATTTTGAATTATGACCCTATCCTCCAGAGCAGTTGCAACCCTACCTAGCTTGGTATCATCTGCAGACTTAATATGCGTACTCTCTATGCCAGTACCTAAATCGTTGGTGAAGATATTAAACAGAACCAGTCCCAAAACACACTCCTGCAGAACCCCAGTTGTGATACCTTTCTGGGAGGATTGTGAGCCGTTAATAACTACTCTCTGGGAATGGTTATCCAGCCAGTTATGCAGTAACCAATGTGATCCTAGTGCAACATTACTTAAGCTCAGGAAGGGTGCGTCTACACAGCAGGGCTTAACTCGAAATAAGCTATGCAAATTGAACCATGTTAATTGTGTAGCTTATTTTGAAATAGCTTATTTTGAAATTGGGAGCGTCTACACAGCACTTACTTCAAAATAGAGCACTCTTCCTCCGACTTCCCTTTCTCCTCGTACGATGAGGGTTACAGAAGTCAGTAAAAAGTCCTCCAGCTTGACAGTATTTTGACATTATTTTGAATAACTGCCTGCTGTGTAGACGAGGACCAAGTCATTTCGAAATAATGTTGCTGTTCCCGAAATGAAAAAAGGTGAGAAGAGGCATGCTGATACTGCCTGTCTTACTGATCTTTCAGGAGAACATTGAGAAGAGAGGAGAAGTTTATATTCTAAACATTTGCAATTGCTCAGCAGACATGAGTTACTGCTATTAAATTTAAATAAGTTTAAGTAATGAGAGCAACTGAAGTAAAGGACAAAATCAGGTTTATTAAAAAAATACTTTACAGGAAAAATCTATGCATTCCATTGTACTATTTTACAAAGAAATAGCTTAACAATTTGACACGCTTGTACAATCAGCTACTGAAAGAAATACACTGGTTAGAGGATTATTCACATAGAGGTTCTGTTTACACTATGCTTTATAAAAACCTCTTTAAAACTTTTCTGTTAAATGTCAATAAATATAGTAGGGTCGCACAAAGCAAACAATCTTCCAGGCAATTGATCGTGTCCCCTATATAAAAAGAACTTAGATAAATTAAAAACCTACTGAAAATATATTAGCTGCCAATTAAATTAAAATCACAAAATCAAATAAGAAATCTCTTTACATGTTGTACAAAGGAATTAGAAGTATAAGTATTTCTTTAAACAGTTGATGAGTGCTATAACAATATTAGCCCTTCAGCTACATGTGCTATTTGATCATAACAATTATGTAAATTAATGGAAGGCCATAAAGTTCAGAAATGTTCTTTTAGATCAACATAAGTTAATTTACAGAACCAGCCATCGGGTGAAAAAGGTTCCTTTTCAGGGGTTGAAGATTATGTCCCTCCCCCACTTATTATGTCCTATAAAACAACCAATATGGCTACACACACACTTAGCATTTTAAACAATATATGTAAAGTGCTTATCACCCATTAAAATTCAAGCATGTGAATGGCAGAATAAGCAAAATGAAGGACTTGAACTCACATCCCTCCTGTAGCTGTGATAAAATAAAATTATGTCAAGAGACTGGAACTAAGTACTCATGTAGGAAAACAGTTGACAGATTAACAGTTTCTCTATATTAAAAAGGTACACATGAATAATTATTACATATCCCTGGAGAACAATTCAGTGTGTATTCCATCTTCTCTGTTAACAAAACATGTTAACAGAGAAGTGAGCCATTGGCTTCACAAGGTACTTTTAAAACAAGTTAAGTTTCTGCACAGACAGTATGAGGACATTCAAGGGAGAGGAAAATGATACTATTATTTCTGACAAGTTTCATATTTAGAGTCTTTCTTTGGCCAGGGGCCCCTTTACTCTGACACAATGTGGCCTTTCACCTTTATCCCAGTTTACCATTTTCCTTGGAACCTAAAAAAAGAATTGTAAACTGTGTTTAAATGAGAAGCCATGCCCAGTATTCCATCTTACAACTAGTTATACCCTTTAGTACCATGTCCCTGGACTACTGCTGTTAAAAATCTAAGTTGGTTTCAAGGCAAGAGAGTATTCCATATCTCAGTTCCAGACTTCAACCAAGCCCATAAGTTTCTAAACAACAGGACAAACCTTCAATGGCGCTATAATGATTTACCTCCAGGGAACTCAATGGAATTACTGTAAATTACACTAGCTGACCTGATGTAACAATGAATTCTAAAGGAGTATGATCAAAATGTGACAAGGACTATTCTGAGATGTATTCCATCTTTATGTATAGCTTTATTTCATCATATCCGTAAGTACTCAGTCTACTAACAGCTGTTGATACAACGAGATAATCTTGCCAATTGAATTTGAGATATGCTTGCATAAAGTGCATAGGCCAAAGGTGGGGAAACTTTTTTGGGTCAGGGGCCACTGATCCACAGAAAAATCAGGAGCCTCAAAAAAGCGAAAAGCAAAAAAACAACAAACAAGAAAAACCCCACAACCTCACTGATGTCACTCATACACACACCCCCAACTGAGGAGAAAGACACTCCTCATATTCCCATCACACACCAGAGTCTAGGGGACCCAGGCTAGTAGAATCTGTGGACTCTCCTAAGCTCTGGGGTGAGGCCAAAATGAGGGGCTCAGTGTGTGGGAGGGAGGGGGTTGCTGGGAAGCAAGTTTGGGGTGTGGGGTCTGGGTGAAAGGAAGCGCGCAGGAGTGGGCTGGGAGGGGAGACCCAAGCATCAGGGGCCAGATCCAGGAAAGCTGGGGTCCCCCAAGCCTTAGGTTCCCCACCCTTGGCATAGACATTATCACTGAATTTAATGAGCTAGCTTCTGAAATCTTTGAGTGATAACAGTCAATCAGAAGTTGCCTTTCTCCACCAATTATTTGCAAATATTTTACTCTTAAGACTAGACAAAGATTTGAGGTGGCCAATACTATACTGGAAGGATTAACTTCACCATCTGTCACTCAGTTTCTCACAAAGCACAATGTATTAGGGATGTAAAAAGTCAGTTACATCAGTAACCATGTAACCAATGAAGCTCTCAGCGGTTACCCAGTTACACGTTGCAGGTTCTGCAGGATAAAGCTTATGTATAAAAACTTGTTTAAGCTTTATAACTGCGGAGCCCGCAGCAAAGTCTCCCTGGGACAGGGGCCACCAAGCCCCTGCCAGTTCTGCTCCCAAGGAGGCGGATTCCTTTCCCTGCCCAGCTCCCAGGGAGGAGGCTGTGCAGTGAAGCCTCCTCTCTGAGTGAAGTGAGCAGCCCTTGCCCACCTGACTCTCGGGAGGAGGCTTTCCTGCTTTGCCACAGCGAAGCCATGTTCCTGGGAGCCAGCTGAATGGAACAGACACCACTAGCCAATAAGTATCAGCTTATCAGCTAAATGGTTAGTCAGGTACACTCTAACATTCCTACACTGTACGGCATTTGTATTCTTCATATTCATTATTAAGTAAGCCACTTTTCATTGCCAACCATTTTAGAGTACTGTGTATCTGAAGGTATTCCAACTGTAATACACTGATTTCAGTCTACTGGGCAACAGATTTAGTTATCGATTTCAGGAGCAATACTTTCTATACCCTATATTTAGAGATTATCTGGGTTTGGAAGAAGAGTGGTAATTTTGGATTTTACAAATGTCTCAAAAGTTGCATTAGTATTTCATTAAACAATAAATTTCGTACAAGCAAAATTAAGACAAAATCCATAATAAAATTGAAAGCTTCATAACATTTTACCCGAAACAAAAATCTGCTCATCTTTATCTCAGTCCTACAAATAACAACAACAACAACTTTATCTAAATCATTCTATGACTAATTTGTAATGAAGAGGGGGGGCATTACTTTAGGTTTTGAACTAGTGAGTAAAAGAAAAGTATGGTACAATGGATAAAGTCATTCAATCCACAGAAGTAAAAGAGAAACAATTTCTTGATATTTTAGAAAGAATAGATTATTTCACACAAGCAGGAAACGCTTTTGAGAGCAGTGTGAAGCATTCAGCTGGTCTACTGTTCATGTTAGTTTAAAAGCATGCTATTTAATATAGTTTACAGACACTTCCAATGCGCATTTAAAAAATTACATGTCTCTTCATTCTATTTCAAGCTCTAGAGGAATACAAATAAAAATTAATGGTACATGGTTTCATCTTAAATTGTGACCCTTTTTAGCCTAAGTATGTTTAATTTTTGCTTTTTAAGATATAAGGGGAGAACTGGTTTTATAAATAAATGAATAGCTTTTCCTTCAAATGTAAGTTCTTTGAAGATATATCAGTTCCTGAGTGATTTATACACAGTGCTGACCATCCAAGGACAATCACCTTATTAGTTAGCAATGATTAAGAGATCGTGATACCATCTTTGACATGGCCAATGAATAGCACATGAGAGAAGAGAAACAAGCACTTGGAAGACAAGCAGAGCGAGTTAAAAAAGAAAGGGAAAACAACACTAATATAATATTATTCAATGTTAAAATTAAAGAGGCACTGAAATCAATATCGCCTGTGAAGAATTTTACTTTGCACAACCCCATTAAAGCTCTATAAAATTCTTCTCAACAAAAAAGTGGGAAAAATGCCAGAGAACAGAGAGCCTGTTTCTGAACCACTTTTGATAATCTATAATTTTTGCTAAAATTAAATTATACCCCTGCATGAATCATATTACTTTTCATAAAAGCTTTCCATTCTAACACCTTATTTACACAGATTACTAAACAAGTCACCACCACTTCAATCTGTAAATTAGTCTGAAATATTTTCTAACGTGCCTTCATTTTTGTACTGAAGACAATACGTACATATACATATATAAGGAGTAATACAAATTCTAACTAATCATTGCAGTATTTTCTGATGATTATTTTGCTATCAATTGTGACCTCTATACTGAGGTGCTAAGATGCATATAAGTCTACACAAAACAATATTGCACAAAGTAATATTTATAATAACAGATTAACATATTTCAGAACCTTTTAAAGAGAAGATTTATAATTGATATTTAAAAGATGCACCCAGAACTAATACCACAGCATCTTTTCTTTTCCTTATCCTAATATAGTGTTAGAAATCTCTTTCCTACCCCAGTGAGGATTAGAACAATGAAGTTGTCCTGGGACAACTTCAGTGGCACCAAAATCAAGTTTGTATCCTGGGTGTGTGTGGGGGACTCTTCTTTCTGATGACTAGAAAAGACAGTTGTTATATAATTGGTGAGTGAAAGTCAAATACAGATCACACAAACATTCAGAAATATCATAAGACTATAAAAATAACTATGTCGGTAGATGACACTTAACATATTAGCTTGTGTCACTGATTTTTCAAACACAGCACCAGGGCACCCAAGAGCTACAAGTGGAAACAGCCAACCAATGCCATAATATTTTATTCTGAAATAGTAATACAGAACTTCAGAGAATAAGGACAACCAATAGAATTGGGTTATCACCAACCCAACTCTATTAGATTAAGTGCATCAGTACCAAGGAGATGATATTTTCCATCAGATGCTTATTGTGAATTTTTCAAAACAAGCTGCCAAGATTGTTAGTAATTTAATGCTTTAAAGTGCTGACAAGAATGCAGTTACCTCCATGAGACTGCGTTTGTTTGTTTTTTTAAAATTAACTCTAGCATTCGTCATATATTCGGGAAAGATGTATTTAGGAAGTAAAATCCTCACACCAAACATTATAAGCAGTACTGTGGAAAGTGTTGTAAGTGATTACATTTCAACAGGATAAGATGTTATACTTCACCTTTTTATGAACTGTTTAACATTTTAAAAATCTATACATCTAGTAATTTGAGTATCCACCAGGAATTTAAGAACAGACAGACCATAACATCACTGGTCATCAAAAGTGCTGTGCTTTCTCTTTGATTTTAGCAGTTAAAATCAGATGGGAGAGTCTTATACAGAAGCCATCCTTTCAAGGTGAAGGTTAAAGAAGAAAATTAAGTAAGGGGATTAGATAGTTCAATGATTTTGAGCTTGTAGAGGAATTCTGTTCTGATTTTGATGAGGAGATACTGAATTATTACCTCACTAAACAGAAAGAAGTGGTAGACCACTATTACATGCTGTACTATGGGAGTAAATTACAACTTGAACTTTGCATAATCTGTGTAAAAAAGATATGCTTGACATTTTGGAATGTCACCTTTCTTTATAGAATTATAGGCAAGATTTCTCCAATAAAACATAAGCAAGTTATAAAACTATAACTTCACATCAAAATTTTAAAAAGTTGTTTAAAAAATGTGTTTGACTATGTACATATCACACAGCAGAGTCTGTGTGATCCTGCGGGTTATGTTGCTGAGCGGATTCTAGTTTAAAAACTGGAAGAGGCTGGGCCACCTGATCTGATTTCAGAACAAGTCCCGATATTGATGAAATTAAGGAGGATGAGGAGGATGGTGCCCCTGTTTTATGCTGCATTTCTACATCCTCAGACTCTGTTTTAACACTCACACATTGGGGTTCACCTTCTGACTCTGTCTTTTCAGGAATACTACTGTTCATGTTTGAATTGCTTTCTGAATTTTGAGAAGACTCCCCCACAGGATGGTACTGTTTGAGCCTTATATGCCAGGCTAAGCTGCAGACCGCTGACACTGTTTTGAACTGATGAATGACATTTCTAGGGATGAAGTAGATGTCATTGTCACACAGCTGGATTCTAGCATAGCGAATGCCTTCCCGTCTCATTTGGTTTAGCTTGGCTTCATCCACCCATTGAACACACTGAGAGGAAGAAAGGGGAAAGTTACTGCTAATCTGTATGCAGGGTCCAAAACTGGGTATCCAGTTAGATTGAAGAGTACACTTTCAGTCCAGCAACCCATTTAATTGCAATTACACTTTATAGACTATAACTTTAGCTATGAAGTTATCTAGGGCAAGAACAAATCTTTAATGTCTCATTATGAAGTGCTGTAGTGACAAATAATGACCCCGTTGCTACAGCATTATGGGATCACAGGCAGATTTGAAAATAAGAACTAGAGCTTCAGAAAGAAGCTTTTGACCTGGCATTACCAGACAAAGCTGGGTGTGGTTGGTCTGACACTACGGGTACGTCTATACTGCAACACTGTTTCGAAATAACTATGGCTATTTTGAAATAACTTAGTCTGCATCTACACAGCAGGAAGTTATTTTGAAATAGTGTCAAAATACTGTCAAACTGGAGGACTTCTAACTCCAACTCCTGTAACCCTCATTGTACAAGGAATAAGGGAAATCAGAGGAAGAGTGCTCTATTTCGAAATAAGTGCTGTGTAGATGCTCCCTATTTCGAAATAAGCTATTTCGATATAAGAGACGCAATTTGCACAGCTTATTACGAGTTAAGCCCTGCAGTGTAGATGCATCCTATGAGACTAAAACTCCAACTCACTAGCATCATATTGGGAGAGGGGAAAAAGTAGAGGCGTGTTTGCACAGTAAATCCCTACCCAGTTTAGAATGACTTCTGTAGCGCACAGCATATCCTAAATGTTTCACAGTATTATTGTCTTGCAGGAGACCAGATACTCAAGAGGCTCCAATGTTTTGGGGTGCCAGATGGACATGACTGATGCCAGAAGGCGCGTGAAGCAAGTAGGGGAAATGGAAACCCAAATTATGTGAAATTCCAATAATCCCGTACTCAAGACTTCTAGTTCCTTATCTTATGAAAAAAGGAGCTTTGTGATGCTTGGTCATGCTAATATCAAAATACATGATCTTCATGATGTCAGTCTACCACCACTACAACAAGAGATACAGATAAACAGCTCTAGCAACAAGCCTAGAACCACATATGAGACACCCACTGTTTCTACTTTTATTTTAAACATTTGACTAACACTAGTTTTTTAAAAATAAATACGCTGCTTTTAAAGCTATTTCCAAAATACTGGAAATAATTTGTAACTAGGGAATACTCAGTACCTGTGACACTGGAGGTTCATGCAAGTCTAACTGAAGTCTTTGTACCACATCAGTGAAGTCTTCAGCATGGAAACAAATCACATCTTTGGTTATTCGAGGTTGGACACTCCTAGAGATGAAGATTGTCAAGACTGAGTTTTAAAGAATTTGTGTACAGCTCTGGAAAGCAAGTTACTGTAAAGAAAATATCTATTCCATAATAGGGATCTCAGCATCACAACTAGTACAATTCTCCTATTTTATAACTGGGCTAATATTTATATTTTTAAAGGAATATTGGAAAGAAAAATGTGTAGGTCACTTAGGGTATGTCTACACAGCAGGGCTAAAGTCGAATTAAGCTATGCAACTTGAGCTACATCAACTGCGTAGCTGAAGTTGAAATAGCTTAATTTGGCTTTTGGCGCTGTCTACACAGCAGGAAGTCAAAGGAAAAACACTCTTCTTTTGACTTCCCTTACCCATTGTGAAATGCGGGTTGCCATGAGTCAGAGTAAGAAGTCCTCCAGCTCCACATTATTTCAAAATATAGGTTCGTAGTGTAGATGCGCACTGATGTTATTCCAAAATAACGTTGCTATGTAGACGTACCCTCAGGTACTATGGTGATGGGGACAATATAAGTAGATACTGCTTGGTCAATGGATCTGAAACATAGGGCAAGGAAAGTACTGGCACTGCTCATTTATCTTACTCTTGAATAATCTGTTGATGACAGTTTCTTGAGCTTGATGACACTGTTCCTGCTGTCCAATTTCTACTGTAATTGCTATAGACAACACTGTCAATTCAAAAGTTATGATTTTTTCCCAGGACTTAGTTACCAGCAAGGCCCTGGATCTGAGAGGTGGAAAAATATTGTAGGCACCATCACAAATGAACAATTAATCTGATAATATTCTGTTTATGGAACTGAATTTATAATCATTTATGAGACTATGGAAAACACATGCAGTATGCTCCAGATACAACGATTTACAATATATCACACAATCTCTCAGCAAATTAGTTCATGCTCTCTGCAAACTAGTTCATGGTAATACAGTTTTTGCGTGGGCCTCAGAAGAGAGAAGAAAGTCAGGGTAAAAGTTCCCAGAGATATGTATTTACTAGATTATGTTTTACAAACTCTGCATAGCATTTGAATAGGCACAAATAATTTGGTCTTAATTTATATAACTAGGCTGCTATTCAACAGACACTTTGCATTTTCTCCTTTTTATAAAGGGAAGTCAGTCTCAAATCCAAATGAAGTAGTTACAAAATTCAGTCACACTCACCATTCACCAAACTGTACAGCTTTCAGCACTCCTACAGCGGCTGTACTCTGCCAGTCAAACCCCTGACCTACATGATCAGCATGGGCTCTTGTTCGGTCTTCAAAGAGAACTTCACGGGGCTCACTGGTTCGAGGTAGGTACTGAAGATTTTTTATTTCGTTCATTGATCTATGAAATGAGGTGAAGAGAGGAAGAAAAAGGATATACATTAATGGGATGTGTTATTATCCTTTGAACTACGCAAGTTGCATCATTCTTAAATATTCAATTTAAAATACAGACTATTAAAAATTGCGTTGTTGTGTAGAGAAAACATATTTGATTTTCTGCCTAAAGCTATAATGAAAACATTAATTCAATTATTTCTCTCTCCAAGACCAGTGAATGATATACTCTCCAGGAAAATCGAAGAGAAATTTGCCTCTTGGATTTCAAGCAGATGGTGGGGAGTAGATTTTAATTATTTCACTCAAAACTTCAAAGATTATAAATTTGGAGAATGAAATAAAAAGCATTTTAAACAAAATTACCACTACTAACAATTGCTTTATAACCACAGAGTTAGATTCTCCATTTGGAGTTTCTTGGCCACTAGTTGATGGAAGGCTGTGTCAGAACAATTTATATACAGCTGTGCATTTTACCACAGTGTTAAACAAAATAACTATTATTATTATTTTGGGGCTACTATAAGGTGGGTGCATAACTGGCTGGATAACCATACTCAGAGAGTAGTTATTAATGGTTCACAATCCTGCTGGAAAGATATAACAAGTGGGGTTCCGCAGGGGTCTGTTTTGGGACTGGCTCTGATTAATACCTTCATCAAGATTTAGATATTGGCACAGAAAGTACGCTTATTAAGTTTGCAGATGAAACCAAGCTGGGAGGGGTTGCGACTGCTCTGGAGGATAGGGTCATAATTCAAAATGGTCTGGACAAATTGGAGAAATGGTCTGAGGTAAAAAGGATGAAGTTTACTAAGGATAAATGCAAAGTGCTCCACTTAAGAAGGAACAATCAGTTTCACACAAAGGGTATGTCTAGACTACATGGCTCTGTCGCCAGAGCCATGTAGATTAGTTTACTAGACACACCCAAATGAAGCAGCTGTTTGGCGGCAGAGTGCTGTAGTCTGGATGCTCCGCGGTGGACATCACAGGCATTTGTCGACCTCCCCGGTAAACCTCATCCCACGAGGCATACTGGGAAGGTCGACAAATGCCTTTGATGTCGACCGTGGAGCATCCAGACTACCGTGCTGTGCCAGCAAACAGCTGATTGGCACAGGACGGCAGCCATTTTAATTTAAATGAAGTGGAGATTATTTAAATCGCCGCTTCATTTTCCTATGTCTACAAAGGTGATCTACATGGCTCCGTGGATGGAGCCATGTAGTGTACACATACCCTGACTGTCATTTTCTCTTTTCTTCTATAACTATCCCATGCAACTTACTGACCTCTGCCACATGGCACAAAACAGAGTAGCTGTTTTCTATTCCTACTCAGAGTTCCTGACGTTTCAAGGTTGTTGCTCATTCTGAATTAGATGTGACATTCGGTGTAGAAATCATCTTGTGGTTAGTTCATAGGGTGAGGAGTCAGGAGACTTGAGTTCACTTCCTAGCTCTGCCACAGGCTGTCTGCCTGACCTTGGATGAACTGCTCTCAGTGCTTCAGTTTCCTTGTCATCGGGAATAACACTTAGCATATGTCACAGGGGGATTGTGAAGCTTAATTAATGGTTTGGAAAGCACATTGGAAATCATTAGATTGAAGGTGCTATAGAAGTGCATTATCATTAACTGGTCAGGCATTCTAATTTTCATAACTAGAGATTCCTGGACAAATAACTACAGAGGGAGGGGAGGTCAGTGGAGGAAGACAGCTGTATCTGTACTCAAGCGATGCTTACAGAATGACTTGAAATCAGGTCAAGAACAAGGATCTCTGCTGAGCAGATTATGAGTGTCATTTTGTCATTCTTTGTTTGAGTAGTTTGCCATTTTGTTGATTTGTTAATTTTTTTCATCTTTAGAGAGAGAACAGTATTTTTGATCACACAATTAATGCCTTGTTGTGATACTTCCAAGTAAAGCTGTCAGTAATAATGTCAAACTCCCATCAGGCCAAATTTCCACTGAAAAGGCCTCAAATCAAGGTGGATCACATACTGATCAAAGACAGAACGAAACTACAAAGGCAAGAGCACTTTTAAAAATTCACAATCAAAGTTTTTTTACTTTTATATTTTTCAGAGGACAAGAACTTTTCTCTAACAAAGCTTCTTTGATAGAAAATTATACCTTTTTGTTTTCCCACCCAGTTATAAAATAATGGCATAATTTTGTGCTTACTGGCCGAAGTCATGATTTATCCTGATAAGGTACCGTGAAATAGTAACTCTTTTAAAAATTTGGAATAATGGATTTAAGTGTTGTGTTTTCGATATAGTGGAATACAAATCCAGAAGACAGACCTTACCAATGCAACATTTCAATGAAAAGGCAGCTGAGGAGACTTAAGTAGTTAAGAGAACATTCCTCTGAAACACAGTATTTCTTGAAAAGACAACCAGTACCAAGACTGCTTAAATAATTAGCATTAGCTAATATATTAGCTTTTAATATAATCTAGAGACCTCTGCACTGTGATGGAGAATTGCGCAAAATATTAGCTTTTTCACAGACTGAAGTAGGAAGTGGATCAGACAGAATACTGGGCTACATGGACCATTGGTCTGACCCAATATGGCCATTCTTATGTGGAGTAATGCAAGAGATGTATCTAAGAGGCACTACAAAGAGCTGTCTATTTTGAGAAAACTTTGAACTCAAATGCATTTATCTGGAACACGGGCAAGAAAAAGCGATTCACCTTGTGAAGTAACAGTGGTTCTTTGACATATGCGACATGTATCCCTGCAGGTGCTCCACTATAGCATCATCTTCACTGTGAGTACTTCCGGCAGAAAATATGTTAATGAGGGGCTCATTAGTATAAGTTGCAATCTCATTAGCATATTTTCTGCTGTTTCTTTTTGCACAAAGGGTTTTTGTACAAAAAGAAGCAGTGTGGATGGGGGGGTGGGTTGCGCAAAATGAAGTTTTTGCACACAAAAAAAGAGTCCACACTGCTTCTTTTTGTGCAAAAACCTCTTGCGCAAAAAGAAACAGCAGAAAATATGCTAATGAGATCACGACTTATACTAATGAGTCCCTCATCAGCATATTTTCTGCCTCAAAAACTCGCCATGTAGACATAGTCTAGGTGTCAGTGTGGCCTTGTGCCGCCAATTGGAGATTTTTTTTAGCAGTGCCTGGTCACGCTGCGCCTGCGCAGAAGCCACTTCATACTGTGGTCTGCGTTCACTGACTGCACGTGTGGCGCAGCCCTTCCTCCATTCTTTCTCTACCATGGAATTAAGGGTACAGACTCCAAAGCAGAGGGGTGGAGTGAACTAGGGGTAACTGCCCTGTGATGTACAGCATCCACTACCAAAAAAATCAGAAGAGGGTGAGAAAATAGAAAGTCTACGTCTTTGGCAGGAACAAAATATTTTCTATTGACTCATATATTAGTGGGAGGAGCTCATGACGGTGTTTGCCATATCGTATCCAGGGTTTCCAGATGGCCTGAGCCACTGGGAGAGCTAACTTTGTAGAAGCCAAAGGGCTACATCCTCTTCCTCAGAAGGTATCTCATCTGGCACTTTGGAGATAGTATTATGGGTGTGAGGTGGAAGAGAGCTGATTGCTGTCCTGGCAGGAATAGATGGCATTGTATGGTGATGTCTGTATGGGGACCAGGCATCCCAGAGTGACCAATGCATGGGGTATGAAGGTGGTAGATATGGCCATAGCAGTCTGTACCAATGAGGAGGTGGTGGTTCATATTAGGGTTTGGATGATCTATGTTCCCAAAGAGGTCTTCTCTGGGTGGGTGAGAAGTGTTGAGATGAGAAGCAATTATACTGACCATCTGCGTCGCCTTCATTATATGGTATGGAGGCGGTAGGAGAAAGAGATGGCTGGTCTATAGTGCCAATAGGGGCATGATCATGTGGCTCTCTCTGAGACAGTGAACACAGGAAGAGTGCCCATCAGAGCCTGCATGGCATCTCTGCGGGTGTTGCATTTCTTGAAGCCGGGGGAAGTGGGCATGTCAACAGTTGGGGTTTTCATCATCTTGTTTCTTGTGGACACAAAGGAGTTGGGGTTGTTTTTTTTGTTTGAGGAGTTTGGGTTGACTCCATAGAACAAAAAAGAGGTTGAAGGAAGGAGCTGAATGGAGGATGGGGAAGGGGACAAAAAGCTTAATGCCTCTTCTCTCCAAAAGAAAAAAGATTGTGTTTGTTTTGAAGAAAAAAAAAGGAAAAAGAAGAACTGGGAAAGGAACAAAGGAAAAAGAGTGGAGACTGCTAAGAGCTCCATTTGCTGCTGAGAACGGTAGAGAAGGAACTGAGGGGGGCAGTGCTGCATGCGCAGTCAATAGACAACAAAGGGCACCACGAGGCAGCTACCGTGCAGGCACGGCATGACCAGACACCGCTAAGAAAAATCTCGATCGCTGGCGTGAGAACGCGCTGACATCTACAGTGGAGCACCCATAGGGACAGCACTTGAAGACCTGTTAGTTTGTCTTAAATAACTAGACTGCTTGGTTTTAAAGCAAAAGGAACGGAAAACATATGGGAAATTTAAGAAAGCCCTGGTTTACCTTTGAGAGATTAATTTCATACACAGTAATGACCAACATTAAAACCTGAGGATAATGCTCTGTCTAACTGTGATTTTATTTTCTATTAAGGAAAATAATGTTACCGGCGTCGTTTGAATGGTGATTTTGGCATATCTGCTGTCGGGATCATCTGTTCTCCTGGTCTCACCCACATTATGGGGCCATCATCACTCTGTGACCTGCACTGAAGCTGGAGGCTAGAAAGCGTGCCCCAGGGCAAAGTCATCTAAATTTGGGAATACAAAATGCTATGTCAAATGAACAACAGTTAAAACTGTTTAATAGAAAGTTTAAAACAAACAAAAGGAAGTACTACTTCACACAACACAGAGTCAACCTATGGAACTCCTTGCTAGAGGATGTTGTGAAGGCTAGGACTTTAACAAGGTTCAATAAAAAGCTAGATAAATTCATGAAAGATAGGTCCATTAATGACTATTAGCCAGGATGGGCGGGAATGGTAACCCTAGCCTCTGTTTGTCAGAAGCTAGGAATGGGCAACAGGGGTGGCATTACTTGATCACTTGTTCTGTTCATTCCCTCTGGGGCTACCTAGCATTGGCCACTGTCGGAAGATGGGATACTGTGCTATACTAACCTCTGGTCTGACTCAGTATGGCCGTTCTTATGTAAAAATTTGATAAGCACTGGCTCAAGTTTATTACTAAAGGAACTATACAGAAACTAAATATTATTCTTAGAGATGAAACATATTCCGGCAGTAATATAGTTAACTTACTCAGCTTTTAAAAAGCATGTCATTGTAAAACTGACATGCAATTGTAAAACTGACATGCAATTGTAAAACTGACATGCCCAATAATTTCTCCAGTTAAATAACTGATTGCTGTGACTTTTAAATTCTTCCCCTTTCAGTATCTAGTTCTTTGAATAGAGGATACATTTTTATCACCATCCTCAGTAAGGAAGTTTGAAAGTTCACCTGAATGGAGAAGCTGTTGCTAAATAATTAGAGAATTTAGGCACATGAAGTTGTTAATTAAGACATGTTAAGATAGTCATGCTTGATAATAAACAATTTAAACAAAATTACTGCAATGGTACAATGCTCACTCTCAGAAATGGGGATTCCTCCAACATATCAAGAAATTCTGGGAAGTAGTCACCAACTTCTTCATCTACTGCTCCAACAAGACTTATCTGCCGCATCGGACCTGCTCTGTAGGTTCCGCAACAGTATGTTCTATTGACCTGAAAATGGTTAGAAATAGAAGACAAAATGAGATACATTTGTTGAATGCCAGGAAATTAAAGTTTATTAAATCAGTATTTCAGACTGCAATGTAGTTTACATTCAAATCCAGGTCTCTTCTATGTGCTGGAGAACAGCCAGTATATTTAGAATATATAAAGAAGCTGTTCAATACCAACACACACCCGGCATGGGCACCACAAGAGGTCAGGGGAAAAAAGAATGTGACTCCAAAAGGAAGAGTGTTATGTAGCATACTAATAAACAGTATGTTGTTTTCTTAGCAAATCAGCAGCAAGTTATTGAGTCCCGTCATCTGAAGAAGTGGGTTGTGCCCACAAAAGCTCATGATACCCATCTACATGTTTTGTTAGTGTTTAAAGTGCTACCAGATTATTCATTGTTTTTTAGTTTTTCTTGCTACAGACTAACTCGGCTACCCCCTGAAGCTTTTGACTAATTTAAGACAGATTCAAAAAGTCACTGTAGCCAGCACAATAATGCTGTGCTGGCTACAGTGTATAAAAATGCCTTCTTATCTTTTCTATCAGTGAAAGTTAATAACAGACATAAATAATTGCTTTGAGACTAGGTTATTTACAGCCTTCAAACTGTGTGTGCGTACACCAGAATACATCTTTGAAGTTTTTAAATAAAGTTTAGAGGGTTTAAGAGCTGTATAGTGGACACTGCTAGTAACAATTTGGTTTCTTTCTCCATAACTATGTCATTAAAAAGCCCCATTCTGCAGTACCAGAATTCAAAGCAGATAACGAGAAAGTAGATTCACTTATGTTTGCATGTTGCTCATGAAAAACAAACAGTAAACAGGAGACTGACTAAAGGGGAGCATGTACTGAGAGGTTGCACTGATGTGCCCAATATATTGCTCTGTTCTTGAGATAGATGAATTAAAAATCAAACCGTGTGGGCCAAAAGAAGAGATGCGTACCCAGTCATAGAGTGGCTATAGAGCTGGGAATGGACACGTGTTTTACACTGCCAGACATTCATGCTGTCCATAGCTGTCATTCCAGCTTCCAGTGGCATGGGAAAAAACTGCCTGAACACAGCAGCTGAGAACCCAGAGAAGTGGGTAGAGAAGCTATTTAGAGCTTTTCTTTTCACACACATGCACCACTGGGGAGAGACAGGCAGTTAAGAATGGAATCCACAAAAGCCAGCATGCTAGGCATGAGCTCCCTAAAGATACATCTACACAGCAGCATTATTTCAGAATAACTTACGTTTTTTCAAAATAACAAAAAGTGCATCTACACAGCAAGTCATTATTTCAAAATAATGTCAAGATGGAGGACTTCTTACTCCGACTCTTGTAGTTCTCATTTCATGAAGAGTAAGGGAAGTCGAAGGAAGAGTGTTCTTTCAATTTCCTGCTGTGTAGACAGTGCCAAAAGCCGAGTTAAGCTATTTCAACTTCAGCTACGCATTTGATGTAGATGACCCTGCGTAGGTTAATTCGAGTTTTGCCCTGCTGTGTAGATGTGCCCTAAGACAGCCACTGGGAGCTGCTGCCGAAAGGTAAAGAGGGATGTTATACTCAGCCTTTCACAGAGTTTGGTCCCTCTCTCTGCTTGAGATGCACAACCAAGAACTAGCACCAGTTTCTTGGAGTCTGGTGCTTAACACCTGTCTTATGAGATCATAAAGTTCCTGCCCAATACCAGAGAGGAGAGAGTGAAGAATCTGGGAGACCCTGTTTCATGTTGCACTTCTGCTTAATGAGCTGAAAGCATTTGTAAAGGGGTCTGCTCTCTCTCAAGAGAGTGCCTTAATTGCAGAGCTAAAGAATAGTCAGATGTGGGCTGCTCTTATTGAAGCTGTTCTATTTTAACTATATGAATTGTGTAAAACAAGAGAAAAATACAAGAAACTCTCTGTAGTACGGTGGGTCAGATGCTGCTGAGGGTGGAGTTGACTACACTGGTTTAATTGCCCGCCTGCCTACTGAAGAGATGGGCTTTAGACAGGGAGCACCAGCCCACTAAAAAGCTCAGAATTGCTCTATAGGCTGCTGACCTCAAAAGTGCAAGAGCCTGCTTCAAGTTGTCCCTTAGCCTGTTAAGAAGAGGTTTGAAGAAGGTGCCTCTTTCCTCTTGAAGAGGCTCCACTTTATTTAGGCCAAAGCAGTGTTGCTCTGTAAGAACTCTGAGGGTACGTCTAGACTACAGGGTTTTGTTGATGGAAGTTTTGTCGACATAGAGCGTCTAGACACATTCAGTTCTGTGGACAAAGCAAGCTGCTTTGTCGACAAAACCCTGTAGTCTAGACGCAACCCTACAGGCAATAACACCTTCTGTCGACAGAACTCTGTCGACAGAAGGTGTTATGCCTCGTAAAATGAGGTTTACCAGCGTCGACAAAACTGCTGAGTTCTGTCGACGTTATGTCGACAGAACTCAGCGGTAGTGTAGACGCAGGTATAGTTTTGTCGACAAAAGTCCACTTTTGTCGACAAAACTCAGTAGTCTAGACACACCCTGAGAGCCCCCAGATTAGTGCATTGACATGGGGTGCTGCAGATGCTGGTTTACTTCCCCTCTTGCTTGTTGGGAAGGATCGGAGATCTGAGCCCCTTTCTTTGTCAAGCTGTTCCATTTTAAATGACTGGTAACTGAGACAAAACAAGCCTGTTTCACAGGGTTCCCTGCCTAGACTTGTGGACAGAGCCTTCATTTGGGTGCCTGCAAAGTCAGTTCAACTCCTGCTTCAGCTTGAAAAGGAAGTGGTGCAGTTGTTGCTTTGCCTTTCCTCTTGAAGCTTTTTGATGAACCATTAAAAGGGCCATGTCAAAGGTGATCTGTAAGAAGCCTTGGGTAACCTGTTGGTCAGGCTATTGACCCCCAGTCACTGATTGTGATAGTTCAATTCCTGCTCTGTGTTTGATGAGAAGCAAGAATTAGAGCAGCAGCTGGCTTTTCTCTTGAAATGGGTCCACTTTAACTAACTATTATTTGGACCAAAACAACTCTTGTTCACAGCTCTGCCTGCACAGCCTGGTGACTAGGGTTCAATGCTCCCCTGGGCTTGAGATGGGCAACAAGCACCTCAACTCTTGAAGTTTGTTCACTTACATTAATTATTAAATGGTCAAATTAAAGCTCACTGATAGAAAGTGCTGAATAGCCTGGTGGACTGGCCCATAGCTGAGGTGTTGGAGAACTTGGTTCAAGTCACAGTCCTGTCCCCTGAACAGAAGGAACTTCAGTGCTTGCCTCTTGAAGCTCTTCCACTTAAATTAACTACAAGCCACACCACTACTGGGTCTAGGTTCACTCTGTAGTCCAGTGGTTAGGCTGCTTGCCTTAGTGTGGCTGATTTGGGTTCAAATCCTCCTCTAGCTGTTTGAAAAAGGATTTGGAGAGAGCTGTTCTACTCCCCCAAGGGAAAGTAGGAGGCTCCTGTTTAGGTCCCTTTTGCAGGAGGCCCTTGTCACAGTTGATAGTTAACAGTTTCAAGAGAAAAATCTATTAATTCTCATCCTAGTGCAGGAGAAATTGAACCGCAGCTTCCAAAATCCCATGTAAATATCCTTGAAGTCTTCTGCCTGACTCCTGCTTTGGGTGCGAATAGTTAAAGTACAACAGCTTCAAGAGGCAAAACCAAGGCAGCTGCCCAAACTAGCGCATAGCCCAGTAGTTAGGATTTGAGCAGTGACTGCCTACCTCTCAAGTGGATATCCTTTCTCATCAAACAGAAAGGGGGATTGAACCAGCCTGGCCCACAACTACTTGAGTACCCTGACCACTGCACTGGAGAGCGATGGACTGGGAAGCCCAAATCATAATTGTTTATTTTAAGTCAAAGAGCTTTAATAGGAGATGAACAAAAGGAAGACTTGATTCACTACATAGTCCCAAAATTATACCTCAGATGCTATTCTGACATTTAACTAGCTAACTGTTTAAACAGGATTTTACATCTGTAGTCAACAGCTTTATAAATTAGTACCAGTACTTTGAATTCATAGGCCGTGGCTAAATTGAGTAGTCCTTACTCTCTAAGGCTAGCAACATTTGAACTGCAGCTTTTTCAGAGTCAGCAGCCTGGGGATCAGTGGTATCTTTACTGTACTGTGATAAGAAGCAAGCAGCTCTGGCTAATGTGCACTGAGAGTTTTTACTATGGTTCACTAAACAAGCGAGTTTTCCGTTAAAAGCATTTGCGTAAAATAGCGTCTAGATTGGCACGGACGCTTTTCGGCAAAAGCACTTTTTGCGGAAAACCGTCCGTGCCAATCTAAACGCGCTTTTGCGCAAAAAAGCCCCAATCGCCATTTTCGCAATCGGGGCTTTTTTGCGCAAAACAAAGCTGAGCTGTCTACACTGGCCCTTTTGCGCAAAAGGGACTGTTGCCTGAATGGGAGCAGAATAGTATTTCCACAAGAAGCACTGATTTCTTACAGTAGGAAGTCAGTGCTTTTGCGGAAATTCAAGCGGCCAGTGTAGACAGCTGGCATGTTTTTCCGGAAAAGCGGCTGATTTTCCAGAAAAACTGGCCAGTCTAGACACAGCCAGGGTGTGTGTACAACACAAAGAGGCAAATACTGCAGGGAAGACTTTGGGTGCTCCAGGGCACGCAGCTGTGGTGATGAAGAGCATAGTAAGAGTAGTGAACAGATCAGATAGACTGTGAGGGGGAGCAGAAATGTCTCAACTATCTGCAAATTACAGTGACTATTTTTTTGAGTGAACAAATCTCAGAGGAGTTGCCTAAGATCTTCAATAGCTCATAGTTATGGGCAAGGGAACCCAGAAGAGTCCTTGCTTATAATTATTTATTCATATGATCTATTCATAGCCGACACAGCCTTATTACTACTGTTACATGTGTAGTTTACGTGTCGCCCTTATACTCAGCTATAGTAAGATGATAATTACAGTTGAGTCATGTGTGGTTTAGATTTATGTCTTTGGCTGAGCAGAGAACATCAAATATATATTTATTATTCAGGGCTAGAGGCTTTATCTGCATAACT